TTACAATATAGTTGATCATAAGCAAGATTTTAACAACTTTAACTTTAAAAAACTTCTTTATGCATAAACAACAGTAATGAAAATAGTCAAGACTAATTGATATTGAAATTGTAGTATCAAAATACAAGAAATTAGATTGTTATTCACCAATCAAAAGAATTCTTAGCTAGGGTTAGTTATTGAATTAATAATTTTAAAATTTTGAATAAAATTATAGAATTAAAATATTTAATTATTTACATACCTTCATCCTTTTATCGTGAAGAATAAAAAAAATTGAGGATGCCAAATGCACGAACAACGCACTTCAAATTAATGATTACTGAGACCGAATTCTTGCGTTGTGAATATAAATCTTGCGTGTATGCGTTATATATAATAGGAATACGAGTAATTTTTTAATCTTTATATATAATAATTTTTACAATAATCAAATAGGCCCGCCTCAATTCCTATAAATTATAGGACTATAACTCTATACGTAAATCAAGTCCTTAAGAATTAGAAATATAAACTTTTTAGAATTCTAAACTGTCCTTATTTCCTTATACATAAATTACACTTACACTAATATATAAAATATAAATATAAAATAATAATTTTTTTTTTTAATAAAAGTGCCCCCAAAATTTGGGGGCACAATGCACATATATACGTGCTATGTATGTAATATTTGGGGCCCCCAAAATTTGGGGGCCCTGTGCGCTGCCCCTGGCCAGACATGGCCAGGGACGGTCCTGCAACCATCCATATAAATCTTTTTGTAACTGCACACAGCACATGCATGGTAACAACGCCCATACATTTCCTTTGTCCCAACACTACTTACAATACATTGCAATTTTTAGATTGTGTGCAATAATATAGAATGAGTGTGTGTCTTGGTAAATTAAGGAAATTGGAAACAACACCACGTTAAGTTTTTAATACACTTATGGTATATATGTATTGATATTCAATTTTATATTTTAATAGGGTTAAAGTTGAATTGAGGATGAAGATTTGCATTTATGTGTGGAGTTTAATAAGAAGAAGAAGAAGGAATCATCTATGGAATAAATGATGATAAATTATCATTAGGGTCATATTTCTAACTGTAAATTAACAGAATTTTTTTGATCAAAGTATCTATGAGGTCCATGTATTATAGTGTTTTGTTCAATTTAGTCATTCTACTTTAATTTTATTCAGTTTAGTCCATGTACTTTGAAAAGTAAAAAAATTAAAGACAATAGCTGATGTGACGCTGACATTATCTCTATCACGTCATCATATTTACATGCCAACTCATATATTATTTTATAAATATTTAAAATTAATTATTTTTACCACTAATATATTACATTAATATGTCACAAATAAATACATAAATATTTGCTCACATAAGCTATTGTCCTTAATTGTTTCAATTTTTAAAGTATAACAACTAAATTGAACAAAATTAAAGTAGAAGGACTAAATTGAACAAAATTAAAGTAGAAGGACTAAATTGAACAAAACAATAGAATACAGGGACCTCATAGGTACTTTGACCGAATTTTTAATAAATGACTAAATTGTGTAAAATTATCAAAGTTAATGACTAAATTGAACATAAAAAATCACTTAGGACTAAATTAAGTAAAACCATTATAGTCATGACTATATTGGGTATTAAGTTATTAATAACTCGTTTAGGATTTCCTCTTCAACAATGTTGATGTTAAAGGCTTTGTGATGCATTGAGGACTATTAAGTAGACTAGATTTTCAAGAAAATGAATAAAAATTACTGCGTATGAAAAGAAAAGTGAATTATGATAAATATGAAGTGATAGGAGAAAATGTTTTATTATTATTTATTTGTTAATAAAAAATAAAAAAACATGCATAGTGGCATCATGAATGTAATGCTCTATCTATTTCTAGGAATTAAAATTAACTCATTCTTTTACAACACGTCTGGTTCACGAAATAAATTTTGGGGTAATACAAATGCTATTCTATAAATAATGGAATATGCAAGGAATAGAATAGGAATTGTATTTTATTGTTTGGTTCGCGGAAGGAATAGACTTTAGTAATTATATTACAGAGTTTGGTTGGTTTAAGAAATAGAAATGAAATATGTTTTAAAAGACATAAATACCCTTATAAAAATATGTGGTGGTGGCGGCAGTGGTGGTGAAATAGAAAATAAATTTAATTAGGAATAAAATAAGAAATATATAAATGTGTGTGTTTGTGTGTGTGTGTGTGTATATATATATATATATATATATATATATATATATATATATATATATATATATATATAGATTTTGAATTCGGTGCACACCCTCTACTTAGCCGAGTCCGTGAGCACTCTCCCTGACCATTGATTTTGAGATATTAACGGTGCTGATGATGTGGCATTTTAAACCATGTGGGCGCTTAGTATTAGATTGGTAGGGGTGTTTTTGTATTTTATATTTGTCATTAATATTACATCTCACTTATTTCGCCGGTTATCTTGGGTTTAAAGCATTCATAATAGGTATTTAGGTTTTCTCTCTCCCCTTGCTTTGTCACGCGACTTCTGGAATCATCCATCTTCTCCCAATCCGGTTGCCGTCCATTCGCGTCTCACATTTTCCCGGCGGTGTTCATGGTTGGTTCCAGCAGGAGGCAGTCCAAGAGGCTTCGTGGTATATCTTCCACCTCCTGTTCAGGTATTTTTTGAATCGATTTCTTGTACCTTTTTTTCCTCTTTTTGTTGTTTGTTTCATGGGTTTTTTCCGACGGTTTGTGGGTTTGATAGTGTTCAGTAGGGGGTTTGGGGTGGGATTTCGTTTGTTGTCTTGTTCGTCTGGGTAGTTCTGTTTTTTTTTTTTTTTTTTTTTTTTTTTTTTTTTTTTTTTTTTTTGGGTTTTCACAGGGGTGGTGGTCGTGCATTCGGTTGGGTTTGGGGTTGGGGGGCGGTGATGCGGGGGATGTGGTTGTGAGGGGTGTACGATTTCTGGGTAGGGTTTCGTTTTTTTTTGCTGTGCTGAAGGAAACTGTTGATTTGGTAATGGATATGCAAAGCTTCGTTTTTTATCTCGATTTCGTGCTCTGGGTGGCTTTAATCCCGTTTGGTTTTGATATTTTTTTGGCAATTCTGGTTTGGTTGGCTGCAGGGAAATATACCCATTGAGGAGGTGTTTGAGAATCTCAGATGTACAAAGGAGGGTCTCACTAGTCAGGCAGCCCAAGAGAGGTTGGCCATTTTTCGGCACAACAAGCTTGAGGAGAAGAAGGTGTCAAACGGCGTTTATTCAGATACTTTAGTTTTCCTCATCATTTATAGTTTATTAATCTTTTGAACTGTAATTTTGATGCTGGGTTTCATTCTTTCTGCTTTTATGTCTCTGGTTTTCAAGATTTAATGTTCACCTCATATTGTGGAGTTATGTTTCTTTATAGTTTACCTTCTTTTTTGGAGACTAATTTCTTTCATCTTTGCCGTTTGTTATGGCCGCGTCTTTGGTTCCAAATTAGATGGTCTTACTTCTCTCTTTCCTTTTGTGTGTGTATGCAATTTACTCTTTGAATTGCTTATTTGCTTGTGACCCCATGGTTCATAGATGTTCCGTCACTAAGATGTAACAAGTGGTTTCCGTGGTTGGTTGGTTTATGAGGTTGAGTGGTGGCCATATGGTGCAGGTTTGATTCTCACATCAATCGGGAGTTCTTTTGGATCTCCCTCCCTTAGGTGGACGATTTTTGCTACTGCATTGTCATTTTTAATTTATGGATGGGCTATTGGTTTGAAAGGTAAATGTGGTGCAGTGGTAAAGAGCGTTGTATTGGGGATTCTAGCTTGGGTTTGAGTTCTTGCACAGAGTTGATGAATGTTTTCATGAGATTATTTGGATTTTCTACCTGTGACATATACGGTTAAATTATCTTAAGACAGAATGGATTTAAAGCTTCAAGCTAGCATGGCGGGAGAGATCTCGATTGGTTGGTGTGCAACTTAGGTTCGAGTCTTTATGGAGTTTTATTTTTACATTCAGTCTCTAAAGAGACCATTGTGCACGGGACTTGATTTTATGGTGTTTTCCTCATGGCGTACTAGTTAGGCTTAGCTTATTTTAATTAATTTTGCTTAGTCTAATCTGTATTAGCCGCGATGTTATTCCAGTTTTCTTGTATCTAGTTAATATTTATGTTTTTGGTGTAATCAGGGGTATGCCCCGGTGTCACATGTATTGGACTTTTGATTTATATTTACATCTCCCGATTTGATGTGTCAATTTAACTGTTGCAATAATTGTTATGCCCCAAGATAGCAAATTCCTGAAATTCTTGGGCTTCATGTGGAATCTTCTCTCGTGGGTGATGGAAGCTGCATCAATTATGGCAATCGCACTTAGGGGTGTGCAAACTTCGGATAATTTTCGGTTAACCGACCGAACCGACAAAGTTCGGTTAACCGTTTTCGAACCGAACTTTTTCGGTTCGGTTAATGGTTAAAGAAATTTTAAAATTTCGGTTAACGGTTAATTCGGTTCGAAAGGTCGGTTAACCGAATTAACCGAACGGTTAACCGAAGTTTTTAATATATATATAAATAATAATATAAATATAAATACTAATTTGAAGTTATGGATGTTTGGAGTTTATTATTAATGTTTTTGTATATTTTATTATGAATTTATTATGATATGTATTTTATTTTAATTGAATTTATTATTTTAGGTGTTATTTTTAGAATTTTAAATTTTAGCTTTAAAAAGTTTGGTTAATCGGTTAACCGACCGATTAATCGAAAAAAATTTCGGTTCGGTGAATTCGGTAGAGCAAACTTCGGTTCGGTTAACGGTTAAAGGAAAAAAAATTTCGATTAATTCGGTTCGGTTAACCGAACGGTTAACCGATTGAACACCCCTAATCACACTTGCAAATGGAGGGGTGAGGTTCTTGTTCAAATTTAGTTGAATTTGTTGTTTATTTAAACTGTTAGTTTGGACTCATTGGAATATATCTTCAATTTTGCAGGGAAAGCCCCCAGATTGGCAGGACTTTGTTGTGATTATTACATTGCTGGTGATAAACTCCACCATTAGTTTCATTGAGGAGAACAATGCAGGCAATGCAGCAGTAGCTCTCATGGCTCGTCTAGCTCTCAGGAGAATAACGCCTACACTGTAACAGCGTTATGCACTGACTTTGATCCTCTTATGCTCACACCGATACATGCATGCATAAGCCCCCGCGATATGCAAAGGCTGATGTCCTACTGCGCACATAGCGGTGCACAGAGATTCATACGTACCATATTATTATTTAATAATAGCTCTTGTTTTCACTGTAATGCATTTACCTATATACAATTACGCACACAGCATAATTCTAAAGCAACACAAATGCCACGGTCGTGCAAACATGGGTTTCTTCAGAAATCTAGCTTGAATTTAAAAATTAAAACCCACATACAACAGATACCATGTACTAACTTCTATTCACTAATGCACACGCGCGACACATGTCTTTTTTAAACAACATCGGTATGCACCGACTGGTGCCCTGCACATAGCAGTGCGCGGGGCTGCATATGCATCATTTTAATATTTAATAACATCTCTTGTTTACCATGTAATGCATTCACCTGCATACAACTACGCACCCAGCATAATTACAACGTTTTAAGTTTTTAACAACCAAATTTAAAAAAAAAAAAAAAAAAAAAAAAAACACCCACAAAATTCTGAACGTAGCCACACGTTATGCACGTACTCATCTTCTTATACGCACCTTCCATCAAAACTCACATAATATGTAGTGATCAACAAAATCATGCATTTTCACACTTCATAAATTCCAAATCTCACGCACACACATCCCAATATATTTAGGTCGTCCAACAAAACAAACTACCAAAAAACAACCCCAATATCTTAAGTTACATGCAATCGCTATGCACATGCTTCTGTTTGCCTACGCACCCTCCCAGTTTGCACATGCTTAAAAGCCCCCCATGCATTCACCATTACGTCCTTACTACAACCATTCAGAGTACCAGCAACTGCTAAAAAAATAATGAAACATGCATACTGGATTTGTAAAATTAAACTATTAATTTAAACTAATTAATTGAAAACTAAACAAAATAGGCACCCAGAATGCACAAACTGCTGTTAGTAGACGCACACGTGAACACACAAACTAATGTCTGTCTGTGCACCAACCCCATGAGGTCACCTGTAACGTTGACGGATTAGTATTTCCCAGTTTGCACATGCTTAACAGCCCCCATGCATTCACCAGTACGTCCTTACTACAACCATTGAGAGTACCAGCGTCTACATTTTTTCTTTTCGTTTTCGTTTCACACTTTTATCAAACCATACTCTACACACACACATCCCTTAACTTTGAGTTTGTCCAATTAAAAATATCCCATACGTAAAAATCCAAATGCCAAAAAAAAAAAAAAAAAATCAATGTGATTACCATTGCTGCTTCACGATACGCACATACTACACTTCGTCTGTGCACCTACCACAGTAGCTCACCGTTATCGTTGCCAGATTAATATTCAAAGTTTGCACAAGCTTAACTGCCCCTACGCACCCACCCCTACCACCTTTCTACCACCACTCAGACTACCCTCTACCACGCTTTTTCTAGTACATGGAAAACCCACAACCAACAAAAAAAAAAAAATACACATTCATCTATGCACATACTATTTGCTGTCTACGCATCATCCCTCCATCCTATCGGTCAAACAAATAACCATGTACGCACCCACCTGAACATGAACACGCTACGCGCGTCAATGGACTACTACTTCATCCAACAACCCCACCCCCCTTTCCACCCCCACCGGGGAAAAAAAACCCATTCTTCAGCATATGCACAGACGTTGACATGTAAATGCACTTACTGCTACTAGCCATTTGAGAAATGTGCTCCAGTATTGTTCCCGCCCTCCCACCGCTTCGTGTTCTCCTTTAGCATTGTCCACGCCACCTTCACTTCTTCAAGCTTTGTAATAATTGAAACTATTAATTTCCATCCACAAATCCCTAAAATAATGCTTCAGATTCCAATAATATTATGTCTATAATTAAATTACAATTACAATTACTAATATAACCTTTACATTGGTAAATGTCACTAATTACTACCCTAATTTCTTATAATCTCAACCATTCATGGGAATTGAATCAATGGATATTATGAGGCCTCATGGTCTCATCTATTAGAGAGGGTGCACCGGATTCGAAGCCTATATATATATATATATATATATATATATATATATATATATATATATATATATATATATATATATATATAAGAGCGCTCATATGCGGCGGGTCTTACCGTGCGGCGGTGCGGTCAAATTCCAGAATACACCAACAGTGTTAACAATATGCACCAACAGTGTAATAAAAACACACCACAATAAAATGCAATAAAACATCACAAAATACACAACAGACTCAAAAAAATACACCATATAACTCACCACCCCCAATGGTGTATTTCCGAACAGTGTATGGTGTTTTTACTCACACTTAATGGTGTGTGTTTGGTGATGCAGGGCTCTGTTTACTCTGTTTTGTGTGGTGTATTTTCATAACGTTGATGGTGCATATTTGTTGAACTATTGGTGTTGCCGCACCGTAAGAAATAACCGCACCGTAAGACACTGCCGCACCTGAACCCGCCTATACATATATATATATATATATATATATATATATATATATATATATATATATATATATATATATATATATATATGTATGTATGTATGTATGTATGTATGTATGTATGTATGTATGTATGTATGTATGTATGTATGTATGTATGTATGTATGTATGTATGTATGTATGTATGTATGTATGTATGTATGTATGTATGTAAGGGTATATTTAGTATTTGTAATATAAAAGTTATTCCTATAAGCATGGGAGTAGCTACTACCAGTCTACCAAGGGCCCCCCTAGGAATAGCTATTCCCATTGCAAAATGAATATGTCATTCCTAAGAATAGTATTCCTATGACAAAGTAACGAACCAAACAATGGAATAGGTCTATTTCAAGAAATGTCATTCTATTCCTGACCTATTCCATGAACCAAACATGTCATTAATCTTTTATAGAGCTAGCAGCTAGTTGCGCTACCCCCTCCCCCCCTCCTTTTTTTTTTTCAACTACACTTCTACCTATTAATTTACCCTTTCTATAACATATAGCTTTCATATGGTTGTATGTTATGAAATCATAGACATGGTTAGGTGAAGATAACATAGTTAGTTTATCAGTTAGTTTTGACTTATTTAACCATTATTAGATGTTTGACTTCGTTAAACTAACAATCAATATGAGTGTTTGAGTAATTAATTTTTTGTAACAACTTATTGTTCTAAAATGTTAAAATTCAAAAAACTGCTCAAAGAAATTTTTTTTATCAATTTTTTTGATAAAGTCATTTTTGCGAATAATCAGCTATCAACAATTAATTTACCAAGCGTTTTTCTACAATCAGCTAATGCTATCAACTAGTCAAACCCACTACTCAATCAGCTAACAACTATACACCAAATACCTCCAAAAAAAATTTGACACATAATAAATGCTATCAACAATAATTTTAAAATAATACGTGAGGCAGTGTAGTTTCAGTTGGTAATTAACACACTGTAGTTTTAGTTGGTAATTAACACATCAAACAATGCACGCTCCGTTAACAGTAACGACGTGCCGTTTCTTTACTTAAAGAAACGACACCATTTTGACCGCGGCCCACAATATAACGAGTGCATATTTTGTCTCCCAGGTAACATTAAACCCCCAGAATTGAGCCCAACATATTAGGGGCCAAAATGACTACCAAACCCAAAGTAACCTCCATTTTAGGCCCATGGAGAATGCCAAACCCAATTACACTCACGAGTGCATATTTTGTCTCCCAGGTAACATTAAACCCCCAGAATTGAGCCCAACATATTAGGGGCCAAAATGACTACCAAACCCAAAGTAACCTCCATTTTAGGCCCATGGAGAATGCCAAACCCAATTACACTCACGGTCCAAACTCAATTCAACAAAACCCAAAGCAAATTACAACAAAATTACTAAAAGAAATTAAAACAAATATAGTAGGCTCAGACCAAGAGATTAATTCCCTCCAGTGAAGATTTACTTTTTTTTTTTTTTTTTTTTATAAGGGAGGAGATTCCCTACACATTATTTGCTTCAAGTGAGGTTTGAACTTTTTACCTCTCACTTAAGGGAGCAACCCGATACCAGTGAACCACAACCCACTTTGTAATTCTAGTGAAGATTAATTCAACAAGCGTGTGAATTCTTTGACTTTGACCAACTTGAACCTGATCTGAGACGTCCTTCTTACAAGCATTAGGGGATTTCCTTTCGGATTGGTGATGTCATTATATCGCTGACACCTGCACATCGGATTAACTTGCTTTTACCACATCTCGATAGGCTGAGTTAGGGTAACTCTTCTATCGTAAGTACATCGTGGTGTCATTAACTGTTGACACCTGTGGACCGGATTGATGCATGTCTTTACCACAATTCTGATAAAATGAGCTAAAGTACATCTTCTACTGTAAGTACATTAGGATGTCAAACAAACCGCTAATACTTATGGTTCGAAAGAAATTCCAATCCAAAAATCCCCATAAGTACAGTCAGGGATTAAAATCTAACAACACGAGAGAGACCAGAATTTTTTATTTTATTTATTATTTTTTTTTTTTACAAAACACAAACAGAAAATAAGAAGGAAATTAGGCACTACAAACAATTCTACATACTGCCTGAAGGCATTCTTGAATATTTAACAGAAGAGCGGGTACTATTTCTCGAAATTAAATAAAATCTAAAAGCATAATAAGTCTGAATCAAAGTTATACCCCTCATTTATGTCCATGTTTTTAATGCTAAACATTTTGTACATTGTGCTTTTAGAGTTGTACTATACAATTTTTTGGACAAAAATACCCTTACCCCGTTATAACTTCCGTTATCTTTTCCATTACTTTTACCATGCACATGCATCTACCATATCTTTTCCTATATTCTTTAATTATAACAATATTTGTAAAACATTTTATATTCATTATATATTAGATTAATATAATAAATAAATTTTATTTCACTTAGATTATAATTAGTAAAAATTTGTTAGCTATTTTTAAAAATATAAATATTGGGCATATGTTTTTGCGCATCGCGCATAGAAAAGACTAGTTATAAAATATATGTCAATCTTAAATTAAATTAAATATTCATTGCCCTTTTTCATTTCACTAGTATTTGTCCCGTGCGATGCACGGAAAATATGTCATAAAAATATACACTATATGAGGTTTATTCATATATAAAATTTTTGTTATTTAATAATTATTATGTGTGAATTCCTATGATAAAATTATGAACATAAATATATTTACAATTAAAATAATATTTAAGGTGGGTGATTACTACAAATCTTAAAATATATTAAAAATTTAGTACATAGTATTTTTTTTTTTTTTTGAATGTTACTAGCTCTATTACATTGTAGTATCTGTTCATATACTTTCTCAACCTACTGAAACACAAAAGAGCTAATAATGCCACCACTGAGGCTCGAACTCACAACCTTCTAAATAGAAGTCCAACCCGGATACCATTGGACCACATAGTCCTGGTTAGTACATCTATATATCTATATATATATAAAAGTAAAATCCTCCTAGCCAAGTTTTCCCCCCAAAATTTAGAGGCATTTTTGTAATATTAAATATTTAGACAAATATGGCATTTCAATAATATTAAAGATTTTACCTTTCTTGAGATCTCTTACCATTTTATAATTTCAATACTAAACCCTTTTGATCTCATTCATTGTGTATAAATACACCTTATATGACCATACACAACCCCAACTAAGGTTAATTATTTCATTGATTTTTGCTAATCATCTTGTGATCTTCCACAGTTGAGGTTGATACGTGATTTGCACGGGTGATGTTTTCATTCTTAGTTTCTTTTATTTTTTCTTCTTTTTGGGTTTTGTTCTGTTTTTATTTTTTTGTATTTTCTGATTTTTAAACAGCAAAAGTGGTTCGTAAGAAAAAATGTTGATATATATATATATATATTTTTTTGGTCTATTTTTGTGGAGAAGATACGGATCTAGAAAGATTGATCGGGAAGCAATAGACTTCTAATCATCCTGTAATCTTCCACAGTTGAGGTTGATACGTGAGAAAGATTGATCGGGAAGCAATAGAGTTCTTTGCTCATCAAGATGATAAAGTTTTGTGATCGAGGGACGAATTATGTCTATATGTAAATAGATATAGACTTACAGAGGGAAGCATACTAAGAATACAATAAAAACCAAAATGAAATTAAAAGCATTTTTTAGTTGTCAATATATCAAAGCGTTGGACTTTGTTTCGATTCAATTTCTCCGTCTATAAAGTGTACATTTTTTGTAATAAGAGAGTAGTTTGTCTCTCCCTTCAAGACGTTTTTCTTGTCATTTAATTTTTTTTTTTTTAGGAAAAAAAATGATTAAGTACTGTGGCTTTTTTTTCAATAGAGTATTATTTTGATTTTATTCTTCATCTGACATTCCTTGATATAAAATCACTTTACTAATGTAAAATAATGTTATTGACTTACCATGTTTGCTTCGATATGCTAAGCCATTTAAAATTTAATACGGAGTAAAATTTATAATTCTAATACTTCCGTAATAATATTGAATAAATATTAATCATATGTTTAGATTTAATAATATATTATATTAAAAGAATTATATATTAATTTAATATAATGATGGTTAATACGGGTAAACCATATATAAGCAATATTGTACCTTAAGAATATTATACCTTAATTATAAAAATTCTACCTAATAATTTTAGTATTAAATGTCATACAATAATTACCATAAACAATGTTTAATAATTGTAAACAATGTTTAATAATTGCCAAATTCTATTATGCAATAAAAATTACTATTATAAAATCTTTTGTAATATGGACACATTATTTTTAATTATTTTGATTTAAGAATATTATATCTTTTATATAAAAATTCAAATAATACTTTTAGTACTATTGAATATTGATTGACTAACAATTATTTTAATTATTAAGACAATTAATAGATATTTTGATTTAAAAAATTTTCAAATATATGAATTATACATAGTAGCATGGAATCAATTAGTAAGATAATTATATTAGGTAATCTAATAAATAATTTACTTTTTAAATTATATCCACTCTTTAATAAATTATACTTACCTTAATAATTAATTATTAATATTATTACCTAATAATTATATATTGTTACCTTTTTGGTGTAATTATTATGGTAATTTATATACATATATATTTTTATACTTAATGTATAATATTATTGGCATGAAATAAATTATACTTACCTTAATATATAATTAATTTTTAATATAATTACCTTATTTTTATTAAAGATAATTATTTTGATAATTTTTCTTTCATTATTTTGTGTGATTATTATGGTAATGTATTTAAATTTTGGAAGAGATTATTACAAATATTATAATTAAGGGAAAATGGCACTTTTTCCCCCTGAGTTATATACTTATAGCACTTTTCCCCCCTCAATTATTTAGGTAAGCACATTAGCACCTTCAATTATTCTAAAAGTGGTTATTTTCCCCCTAATATAATAAATTGACATTTATACCCTTAAAATAAACATTTTATTTATTTTACTTCTCCAATAAATTATTGTGTATACGTAGGAATGACTACGATTCGGTTCGAACTGAATCAGACACTATAGCAATCGAATTAAAAGTCTCCGGTTATGATTCAGATCTAGAACCCAATATTTGGATTTTAATTTATTAAAATTATGAATCAAAAAAATTGGATCCTGAACTGTGAACTGGCGGTTCCGGACCTGATTCGCGATTTTGAACCGTTTTTATTTTAAAATTTTATTTTTATTTTAAAAATAGTCTAAATTCAACAATAAATGTATTTTATTTTTTCAGTTCGGAACATGAACCGTCCGTTCCGGGATTTTAATAAACTCTAAATATCGAGTTTCGATTCTAAATTGTAATTGAAATATTTCGATTTGGTTGCTATAGTGTTTATTTGGTTTGAACCAAATTATGGTCATAATTTGTTGGAGAAGAAAAATAAATAAAATATTTATTTTAAGGGTAAATATGTCCATTTAACATTTTAGGGGAAAAAACAGCCACTTGAATAATTGAGGGGGGCCACTTGAATAATTGAGGGGGGAAAAGTGCTATAAGTATATAACTCAGGGGGAAAAAGTGTCATTTTCCCTATAATTAATATAAGTAATATAATTAATGAAATTATTATGGTAATTGCCACAATATTTGGTAATTATAATTAATATATTTAAAGAAATTGAGAAATATTTGTAACAATTTCATTAAATTACAATTAATAAAATATGAAATATAATTAAAGAAATGAAATTATTAAATTAACAAAACATGAATATTTATAATCATACATACACTTATGCACTATAATAATCATGCAAAATTTAAATGCAACCTTTTAAATTTTTAAATGTAATTTTTTAATTATAAATTTATCAATATAAATTATAGTTAATGAAATTATATTATAGAACTTTTCTATATAAATATTAATAAATATTATGTGTATATACAATGAATTATACAATCATATAAGGAAATGCGTCGGATTAGAGTTTAAATTTATTCATACAAAATTTAGAATTTACATTTTTTTATAAGACTAATCAAATGTTAATGTTAATAATAATAAGAAGAATTTTAAAATCAGAATTATAAATTAAGTATTAGGGTAATAATTAATCTATATATATATATATATATATATATATATATATATATATATATATATATTATATTATTATTATTATTATTATTATTATTATTATATAAAAACAAAATCATCCCTTTTCAAAAAAAAAAAAAAAAAAACAACAACAAAATCATCCTATTTCATTTTCTCGCCCAAACTTTTGTAGTAAAGCTTATTTGGTAAGTAAATGTCAAATGGAAATTAAATAA